AAAATCATTAATAGGCAATCGTTCGATGGGCTGAATTGCACAAAACGCATGATTGCACTGGCTAGTCTGGTGCGCATTGCTATTTATTTAATTTGGCTGTACTGCAGATTAAGGATGCTTGGACATTTAAATTTGTTGTTTGATGAGCAGCATGCGGGATGTTGTTATGGCCACGTAGGAAGGTAAAATCTGACGGATAGGGCATATTGGCTTGTCTCACTGAGAGCTGGAGGAAGTTACACATTAATAATTGCGCTTTGCGAGGAAGTAAACGACCATTTGGGCTACTTCGGAAGAAATGGCATACCGACATCGGAAACTACTGGAGGTATGCAACCCGGAAATGTAAGTACAACTGCAACTGGCATATGGAAGAATCCCAAAAGCATCACTGAGATGTGCTGCCACACTGACTATTTGGAATATTTGTACGATCCTGGCATTCTCTGCTTGTTCATCCAGTCGCAGTCTCGGTTTGTTATCAGAAACATTTCATGGATTTTGCAGTTTCCGATGCTTTTTCAAGTGCCACGATTAAGTGATCCAATGATTGTTTGTACTGATTTATCAGTGGAGAAAGAATTTCATCCGGTTATTCTCGGACTTGGTGACATTGTTGTTCCTGGTAAGTTTTGCTCGTCCCATTTAGATATAACTGAATTGCATGGTCAGATTTCTGAAAAAGCTGGAGACCTTGTCACTGAATTTTTTGTTCTTTTCTACTCTACCTGCAAATTCTTTCATTTTTGCAGGATATCTCATCAGTTTTTGTTTCACTGTTGATGTTGCTGTTCGAACTCGGTTTTTGTATGGATTTGTTTCTGTAATTGGTTAGCTTTTTACCAGTTTTGAAATTATAGCATATTTTTGCAGGTCTTTTTTTGGTCTGTTTCACTTTGTCATTGTTTTCCTCAAAACGTCAAGCCGGTCCCGGGGCCATGTCCACGTTTCCTCTACCCCTGTGTTAAAATTAGTGATACAAGGATGCAAAACAAGTTCAATAGCTAAAGGCGAAAGGCGAACGATGACTGTAACTGAGTGAGTGGTAGAACGAAGGATGCTTGAAGTGTCTTTTCAAGACCATATCACTAGACGATTCTTTATATTTATGGCATAGAGATTAATCGGGATCGCAAGAAAATGCTAAGCTTCAATAGATGATCATGTTGCTTGGCTAGCTAATAACAAGTAAACACTGTGTATTAGTGAATGCTGAACAAAAAAAAGTAAAAGATTGCTCGGAGTTCGCTGAAAATGTGGTCCACGACCGTTGTACAATTGGTAGGTACCAGCTGAAAGTTTATAGCTCAAGACCAAAATACTTTATTACTGTTCCAGATTTGTGGCTGGTTCATTTTGAATCTGAATACTAACTTTGCAGCAGCCCTAGTAATTATTATTTTTGATTTTTTTGAATACGAAAAATGAAGCAGAATTTTTGTTGACAATATGCCGTTTTTCAGGATATGGGGTTGGTCTTATCGCAACATTCGTTGCTTTGAATTTGATGCAAGCAGCACAGCCTGCATTAATTTATCTAATCCCTCTTACACTCGGACCAATTGTTGTACTTGCGTTTTTGCGACACGAACTCAAATTCATGTGGTTGGGGAATTTTCCAAAGCCTGAGGTTGGTTTTCAATATGTTCAGATGCATTTTTAGCATAACCAATGTAATGTGTTCGGGATAGTAAAAAATTCCACTTTTTTTTGGTGAAATAGTGGTTTCTATTTTATAATTCTCCTTTTTTTTGTTTTTAAGCTTATACCTATATGTACCTACCCTTGCATTATTACGGCAATTGAGCACTACAAATCGAAATTGCGTTTTTTTTTT